ATGCATCCAGAGTTGGACTTGGTTGTGTATTGATGCAAAATGGTAAGGTTATAACCTATGCCTCCAGACATCTTAAGGTTCACGAGAAGAATTTCCCGACTCATGAACTTTAGTTGGCAACTATAATGTTTGCTTTGAAAATAAGGGGTCACTATCTCTATGGTGTTCATGTAGATGTGTTCACCGATCATAGGAGTCTTCAATATGTTTTCAGCTAGAAAGAGCTTAATCTCACATAGAGGAGGTGGTTGGAGTTACTCAAGGATTATGACATGAGTATTCTCTATCACCCAGGTAAGGCTAATGTTGTTGCTGATGCTTTGAGCAGGTTATCTATGGGTAGTACTGCCCATGTTGAGGAAGGCAAGAAAGAATTGGCTAAGGAAGTTCATAGATTTTCCCAATTGGGAGTCCGTTTATTGGATTCTAATGAAAGTGGAGTTGTGGTGATGAATGGGGTTGAATCGTCACTAGTGTCTGAAGTGAAGGAGAAACAAGAACAAGATCTTGTTTTGCTTAAGTTAAAAGCAAATGTCCATAAGCAGAAAGTGATGGCTTTTGAACAAGGGGGAGATGGTGTGTTGAGGCATCAAGGTAAATTGTGTGTACTAAGGGTAGATGAACTCCAAGAGAGGATCGTGGCAGAGGCTCATAGTTCCAGGTATTCAATTCATCCCGATTCCACGAAAATGTACCACGACTTGAGAGAAGACTATTGGTGGAGTAGTATGAAGAGGTGTGTTGCAGAGTCCCTTGCTAAATGTCCAAATTGTCAGTAGAGCACCAAAGACCCGGTGGTATGGCTCAAAATATAGATCTTCAAGAATGGAAATGGGAGATGATTAATATGGATTTCATTACTAGCTTGCCGCAATCTCGTAGACGTCACGATTCGATTTGGATGATTGTAGATCGGATGACTAAATCAGCCCATTTCTTTCCGGTAAAGACTACCTATTCAGCAGAAGATTATACCAGATTTTATATTCAAGGGATAGTCCAACTCTTTTTTAAATGGAAAAAATTAGCAAAGGACATTTTTGTAATCTAACTTTGAACATAAAACCTTCCCACTTTTAATATAGGGAATGGGCTCAAATATGTCATTGGACTTTAAGAAAAGGTTCATTTATGTCATCGGTTAAAAGTTTGGTTCATTCATGCCATTATTTTTAAACATAAAATATAAATGGTTTTGCAATACCATTTTTGCCACGTTGCCTCTTATAAGAGGTCTACATCACCAAAATTAAACCGGCCCACCATTTAACCCATTTAAAATTAATTAGTTAGTTAATTAAATTTTAAATTAAAATCCACACCCTTTAATGCCAACTAGACCTCCCTCTTATGATCATAATTCCAAATTTTCCTTCAATGATAATGACGAGGAGAGTGATGAAAATCAAGTAAACAAAGATGATGATTTAGAGTTTGCGTTTGTGATGGAACATCAATTTTCAACTATTTCTACTGATAAAATCTTCTATAACAGTCAGATTCGTTCAACTTTCACCATTTCAACAGAGATACATTATTATACAACGCCAAATTCAATTGTTATTTGGAGAAGGTTTCAAACTCAACCAAAGTCAATTCGAGTTTCATTAAGGAAGCTTTTCATGGATGATTGTGAAACTGCGTCATGGTCTTCCTCGTCGGAAGCCAATGACCTAAAAGGAATTCCTTCGAGAACATATTGCTTGTGGAGACCAATATTGATGGAAGAATCTCCATCTTAACTGTTTAAGAAGCGAAACTCCACTGGCTCCTCCTCTAAGAGGTGGAAGTTACATGACTTTCTTCACCGGAGTAACATTGAAAACAAACAATTCTGTTCAAAAAAGAGAGAAGAGAAAAGGTGGGTCAATTCAAAAAGAGATAAGCAAAAGGGTGGGTCGGATTAGTAAAAATGGGTCCAGATTTTAATTCTAAATGGATTAAAGGGTGGGAAATTTTTTGATGATGTGGACCTCTAATAAGAGGCCACGTGGAAAAAATGGTATTGCAAAATCATTTATATTTTCTTTTTAAAAATAATGGCATGCATGAGTCTTTTCTCAAACGGAAATGACACAAATGAACCAAACTTTTAACTGATGGCATAAATGAGTCTTTACTTAAAGTTCGATGGCATATTTGAGCAGTTTCCCTTAAATATAATATGATATGATTATGTGTTGCACCTATTAGCACATCAAAATGAAATGCATTGCTATTGATGAAGAAATCATCCATGAATGGGACAGTTTCCCCACCACAGTTGCTGCCAAAATGCCATCAACTTCTTCACACAGGCATTAGCCAAGCAAGCAATTCAACAAGGGAACCTCTTCCTCCATAAAGATCAATGGGGACGTTGTGCCTCTGGATCCTTTGAGCACCAGCCCTCTGTTTCCATCGATAAATGTGGACTTAATTCCCTCTATCAACAAAGCAGCCAATGTTCTATCCTTTCTTTGACAAGTATTGTGCAGGATCACAATTTTAAAGATGTCAGGGATAACTGTTCAAGTTTCACTTCCTCCAACTTAGACCATGCTTGCAAGGATTGCACGAGTTCCATCAAGTCTGCGAGGGATCATTTCCTCAATCAGTTTAATGCGAAAGTTAATGAAACAGAGAGAGCTATTTGTCTTGTGGCTGTTGTCATTTCAGTTACTACCACAAAATTAAACGATCCCTCTTTAATTGACGATTTCTTCAGATTTTTGCCAGGGCTGAATACTTTAGGTGAGGAAATTAATGACATTAGGTTTAATTAATTGCAATGTTTACTAATATCTTTCTTTGTACAGATAAGTCAAGTGAAGAGTACATTAAAATCAAATGTAAGTATGAGATTTCGACAAAGTAGGTAGCACTAATTGTTTCATAATCTTATGGAGTACTAATTAATTGACTAAATAAAATGCAGATCTTTGGCGAAAGCATTGGTTGCAATTGTTTTAGCAATATTTGTGATGATGATGGCGATATTTCTTGTTAAGTATGTAACAAGAAATGCTAGGGCTGGACGAAAGCTTCTTCTTTTGAAGCCAAAGATGTTTGCTTCTTGTCCAGGGCTATATACTTTCTCAAAAGCTGAGATTGAGAATGTGATAAATTATATAGATGAGAAGAAATTCCTGGGACGCGGTAGTGCAGGGAAAGTTTTCAAAGGAGTTCTTCCCAGTGGACAAGTAGTTGCTATCAAGCAGATATATAGAAGTAACACATCCGATTCTTTCAGTAGAGAACTCGAGAATCTTTCCAGAGTCATACATCCTAATCTTGTTTGCCTCTTTGGGTGTTGCATTGAAAACGGTGAACAATATTTAGTCTACGAGTATTGCTCTGCTGGAAATCTAGCTCAACATCTTCTGAGTAAGAAGAGAGTAGAGTAATTTTTCAAGATAGATCGTAATCACCCTTACTAATCAATGTGTTAAAAATCTTTTAGGGAAAGAGAGTCTTAAGTTGGGAACAAAGGGTGAAAATCTTAAGAGATTGTGCACTTGCATTGGGGTATCTCCACTGCTACATAGATGGATTCATTGTTCATAGAGATATTAAGGTATCAGCTAGTAAATCATTTCTCTTGAATTGTATTTCTTATGATCAATATATATCTACTTTATTTTTGTGAATTACGACGTGTGAAGCTTACAAATATCCTTTTAACAGAGGATTTGGAAGCAAAGCTATCAGATTTTGGGCTGGCAAAGATGTTGGGAATGGAAGAGAGCAAAGTGTTCACAGATGTACGAGGGACGATAGGTTATATGGATCCAGAATATATGAGTAACGCGAAGTTGACCTATGCAAGTGACGTTTACAGCTTTGGTATAGTAGCTTTACAGGTTCTTTCAGGCCAGAAAGTGATTGAACTTGATTTGGATGCCAGAGACCAACTAACAAGAAAAGTATGCTGTCCCTACCTCAATTTTTTAAGCTTATAGAATAAATTAGCAGTGATAATTAACCAAAAGCTACAGTTAATCAGGCAAAGGATGTGAGCATGGGTAAACGTGAACTAAAAGACTTTGAGGACCCGCAACTAAAAGGTGAAGTAAACAGTGTGGATTTCGAGTCCATACTTCAAATTGCAGTGCTCTGTGTTGCCAAATCAAGCAAAGGTCGTCCAACTATAGAGGTTGTCGTTGAGGAGATGGAGAAAGTCTTGAAAAACACATTGTCCGATAAGGTATGTAAAAAACACACGTACAATATAGTAAAACACACTTTAGAAAAGTTCATTCTAACTTGTCTTTCTGTTTTAGAAAGCCGCGGAGCAAAGTGCATTACCTGTATTAAGGAGATCACATTCAGTTGGTCAGTCATTCCTGTCTGAAACTTAACATCAAAGTATCTTTGATTTTGAATGCTTAGTTATTCTGTTGGGAGAAACACACTTTGATTTTTTTCGAACATTGTTTTTAGCTCGATGATGTGCAGCTAGCAAAGCTGCTTCCTGTTTGTGAAACCACATTTTGGTTCTTGAACATTAGTGATTTGTTGTATTATGGTGGTGTAAATTTAGGATAAGAATGATCCATTGTTGTTGTCTGTTTACAGAAGTACACTCTTGATTCTCCTTATCCGATTAAAATTTTGTTTACTATGTATTTACTGGAATTCGATGTATATACCCATTCTTGTATAAATTAAAATATGCATATTTTTGTATCTTCTTCTTCTGCTTGAGTCTCTGCCAAGATTTAATGTGGTTTAGTTTCCAATATTTAGCCCATGGAGTTTAAATAATAAGTAACTTATGCCTTATGGGGCCACGCTTTGCACTATTTCACCAAGATCCTCTTTGCGGATTACCCATTTTTCTGCTCATTAGCAAAAGATAAATAGACATTGAGAGAAAAATGAGCATGGAGAGTTGTTTAAAAACTTTTGATATGTAGAAGAGCAAAAACTTATTTGCTCCATTCATAGAAAGGAAGAAAGATTAGTCTTTAAAGACTTCTTACCAGGAGCAAAAAAATCAAGAGCACACACAATTTGAGGAATACCTAGTGTATTTCCAGAATGCAAAATCAAATATGTTAACTCAACAGAACGTTAATAACAAGTTCGATCCATTACATTGTTAACACAACACAACTATTTACAATCCAGTGTTCCTTACTGATGCCACTAACATCAGAGGCCTTGATTCATTTCATTCCATACACAATCTACATTGTGCAAAATACACTTCAGCGTTTTGGGTTTAAAAATTCAGTTATCTACATCTATACATTCCACCAGGCACAAAATAACAAAACTTTCTTCACCAACCGAATCTACATCAATACATTCCACCCCGCTGCCACAAAAAACAAAAGGTAAACTTTCTTCACTAACCGAACATAGCTTGTGAATCGAGCAGTTTCTGCAAAACAAATGTGAAGGGCCATGAATCATGAACAGCTTGAAGAACCATCAGACAAACAGTGATCCCATATTAACTTCAAGTTGTCTTCAAGCATTTTAAGCACCAGCTTTTCATCAATCGTTTGCTCCTGCATTTTCGGTAAGAAAATATAATTAACTTAATTATTTCAGTAGGGAAGGAGCAAAACAGAAAGGCTTATCAATTCAACAATGAAGAGACACTGCATGGTCTTGTTTATATATCCTTAGCACATGCCAGTTATGAAACCATTCGCTAACATGAGCTACTGTAAATCTGAATAATAACTTTTTAAATGTAAATTCTTTGAATACATACAAAAAGTTGGATAATTTCCGACAGAAATGAACCAGATTGGAACCAGTGATAAAATTTTAACTGAACTAGATCCAAATGTATTACCAACAGAAATATACATAATTGCTCATCAGGAAAAGAAACCTACCTGCAATTGGGATAAAATCCCAGGCATTTTCAGGTTAGCTTCATGTGCAACCTCACCAGTTGAAGATCTGAAATCAAATCGATCTGCATGTCTAAGCTTAAGCCTAATTGACGAATTTCCATATGATTTTGCAGTTGTGTGCCAGGCACCGGTAACAGCATATTGACTCCCTGAAGAATCCTCGCCAAAGGGCCATCTCAACCCACCCTTAACTTCTGAGTCCAAAACGGCAGAACCAATAAGATTTTTTATTTCATTGATCTCATCATCCTGGAAAAAAGCAGAGAGTAATCCATATAAGAACACATTCTTAAGCTATAGAGATAACACTACCGGTGTCCTTTCAGTTGAGAGTGCAGAAGTCATGATGAGAAGATGGAAATTAAAGTGCATATAAAATAAGTTACACAGGAAAAGGTCCTTGTTCACTGGAGTGGAGGTAAAATATGGACATTAAAAGTGCAGACAAAATTCACTGGTACTCTAAAATCTATGGGTTTTGTTAATACCTGTACTTGCCAATGTAAATATCAAAAGTATCATCCCTGGTACTATATGACCGGACAATTTAAAGGCATTAGACTTGAAGAAACATCAAAGGATACCTCATTTTCCAACTAAAGGAAGTTTGATTACTTGGTGTGTAACTTCACCTTTGGTTGGGTTTTCGAAGCCCTTAAATCTTATTAAGATAAGGGTAGCTACTTTGAGATCCCAAAGCAAATCAAATTCATTAAGTAACCACACTAGCACTTGAATGCATATGAAGAATATCTTCATTTCTACTTTTTGCCGCTGTATTCTTTTCCTTTTTTTCTCTCTTCTACTTACCCTCCTTTGGATTTCATTGTAGAAATGATTCATATCTAGCTCAATCCAGTAACTAGAGGACTCCAATAGCGCACAGTATTTGAGCATCTTAACCCTACTGGAGTTCATAGGGTCAGCCCAATAGGCTATTCACTTTGCTGTTCACAAACATCTAACCCTTCCCCAAATCCACGAAACATGAAAAAACAAGAAATTTCAACCAAGAGTAATTAAATGGAGATGTTTCCAGTTTCGGAAAATATAAATCCAAATATTGGGTGGAACTTACAAATACGAGTATACGACCTATGACTTTCAAGATATTTGATCCAAAATGAAGTAACTTACAGATAAACCCATCATGATTTTCTTGGTATGTAACATCAACCTCAGGTCTAAGCCTTTGCCAAGACAGCTCATGTCTGCAACCATGTTGCGTACTTGGTTCAGCTCAATCTAAAAGAAAAGGCGTAGCGTCAGAAGATTGATAAGGAATGACAAACTGCAAGAAGTAAAGCATGCAAAAAGATAGGTAAGAAAGAGGAGGTAAATATGTTCATGACAACAATTAATGTTGTTTTGCTAGTTGGAAAATAAACAGTTAATTGGGCATCTTACAAGTTCATTAAGAACCGGGGAACGGAGGACTAACCTTATGGAGCTGAATTTTCTCCTGATCCTTGACCACCGTACATTTGCAGGTGACAGTTGAATCAGCGCGCATGTTGTCTGAAAGCTACAAAGCACAAGGGATACTACTAAAAGAACCAACACATAAAGAGACTTGTTAGAAACATGAAAATATTACCTTGACGTAGTATAATTCCTTCTCCTCCACACATTCTAAGTCAAGTTTTTGAACTGCAAGGTTTCGTATATATTCCATAGATGAAAGAGGAACATTGGTATAGAAAGATTTTTTCATTTGCCTCAACGTAGTTTCACTTAATAGGTTACTTTTCAGGGATTCTTGACTTTTTGCAGAAATCCTACAAGACACAGAATTTGAGGAGGATTACATGTTAAACACACACTGGATTTAATCGACTCAACAAAGTACTGCTTCAGACACCGCAAAAGAAGAAGCATTATAACATCTAGGAGAAAAGTTAAAAGAGTTACATGTCAAAGTAAAATAAGTCAGCGATTGACAGAAATTCTAGTTTTAGGTAAGTTCTAATTTGCCTAACAAGACAAAAATTGTGTACTATAATAAAATGGATTTGAATAAAACTGATTATGAGAAATGAACAATACTAACCCATGAAACAGAATTCTTCCAAAACGAGCAACTAGACTCAGCTTCAATTCTTCCGTATTAGATTCCTCCATTTCACATTTCACATGTTGAAATGACAAAAGTAAGTCCTCCATCACACTATTAGCCACCAAACGCCATGGCTCATCCATAAGCTCATTTGTTCCTCCACTGCAACCTAAAAAAGTACATATATTACAGAATTAAGATCTCAAAAACAGACAAAAGGATTTTAAATTATTTGAAACCCTGATCTACCAAACTCTAGAAAATCTGTAATTTCAGATTTTGCAGAAAAAGAACAAAAAAGTAGTAGTACCTTGCATTAGGACCAAACGAAGAGGATTTTCGTCAGATTTTCGGTCGATAGAAAGACGTTGGAGCTTCACAAGAGATGAAAAGTGAGAATCATCAGTCAAACCAACAGGGAACCATTTCCTAACTGCACCATGAGCATAACGGATCTCAAACAGAAACTTTTCCTTTCTCTTGAAATTCAGGTTTTTTCTGAAGGCAGGTATGAGGGATTCCGGTGCGGGAGTTGGTTCCCGCGACGGCGAACCCTTTGTGTGCCTCTTGTGTGGTGGAACGTAAGACATGGCTCAGTACGATCAGTTGCTCAGAGAGACTGTTCAGTTGTAGACTACACTAAAGTCTTCTTAAAAGGGAAAATACATGAAAGAGTATTTGGATTGGCTTACAATAAAGTTATTAATGATATTCCTTAGTTCAATTTTATTAGACAACAAGAAAGGTAGTTTGACGGATGGCGACTGGTCGCCTTCCTACCACAAAGCAATTTTTTTCTATTAAATTATAGAATATGCTAGGTAAATTGTCCGCGTTTCGCCCGGGAGTAATCTACCCTAATTAGGTCAAATTTTATTGATTTTGTACTGTAGTTATTAGCAAATTTTATTGATTTTGTACTGTAGTTATTAGCCCGATATGGTTTAAGGTTTGCTCCCACTTTTTCCCCATTATGAGAGTCTTCGTTTTAATGTTCTGAATAATACATTGAATAATTTATTCTTAATTTTAACTTGTCATATTAACATATTGCTGACCAAGAATTGTCTAAGACATGTAATGATTTAATGTACTGAATAATTTATTCTTAATTTTAACTTGTCATATTAACATATTGCTGACCAAACATCGTCTGAGACATGTAATATTTACAAAAGACTGGGAAACTATGTACATGTAGTCCATCTTGAACGGTAAATGAATAGTTTTATATTATATTCAACTAGTATTATAGGGATAATAAACAATTGTTGTATTTTTAGATGGATTCTATAGTAAGTTCAGACATTTTCCCACAAGAATGGGAAACCGCATAGTTTTTCACATAGTATTATAGCAATCTCAACTAATACGACACCTTGTAGGCTAATCCGTTAGCTTTGAAATAGAGAATTTTCTTTAACTTCTCCATTTTCATAAAGTATCAACTTAGTAATTCTTGGAAGTAACCAAGTTTAAACATTATCATACACCTATTGATAGACTTCAGGCAATCAAACTCCCCATAAGGCTGTCAATAATTGCATTCATAAGCTCATTTAAATGCTAGTGTAAACGGGGTTAACGATAGATTTACTCTTTGCAAAATTGTCCGAGCATCCTAACAACTTGTATTTTTCATCCAATCCTTAGTAAATGCCGTTACTTAACATATCATATTATTGATCCAAAGAACATGGTCAGCATTAGCATATAGCCGATTAATACAATCGAGTATTATACGCGTTGCACCAAACTTAAATGCCCACCTTTATTTCCTTGGCCTTTTAATTTTATAATGTTTCTCTTGCTTGGTTAGCTCATTTTGAGCCGATCACCACGCTCCCACGATGTACCAATTCCCTAACTACGGGGGTGCAGAATCACTTTGTCAAAATCCATTCGGAACAAAGACTATAAAAGCGAAAACAAACAGAAACACCAACTATCATTTTTTTTCTTCAGCCACATGTGTACAATTTTTTCTTGTGATCCTCATTAATTTTACCCTTGATCATCCATTATCCCTTTAGCGTTTAGACTTTGTACACCCTTTATAGTAAGGGTATCTTGTAATTGCTGCAGCAACTTCCAAATGTGTATGAGCAAGGGTATCTTCTAATTGCTGAAGCAACTCCAAATGTGAATTAACTATGCCGTCCCAAGATGCATCGGTATGACATACCATGGAATAATACCGGATTTGGAAGATAAAGTCTGCCCCCATGAAGTGTTTTCCCTTGGCTCACTTTGTTTGTTGTTGACTCTCCAGCACCCTATCGAAACGAATATGGCACAAAGTTAGCAGGACAAAGTTTGTTAGCTTCAGACATGTCACTAAAAAACAATCATTGTAGAGAAAACTATAGAACATGTGACTCAATCTTAAATGACCCCAAATTATGCAGTGAGAAGACTGCAAAGTTACCTATAGTTTGATAGAAGACGACTCATCCAAAAGTGAGGTACAAAAAGAAACCACACTGCCTTTGTGGAAGAAGAATTAATAGCAAGCTGCATATGTTGTACCGTTCTTATTCACGCGAATCAGCAGACCACATCAATCTTCTCTATCATGGCTGGCCTCATCAGGGCTATAATATCTACTACCAATATCAATATCAAGCTGCACAGGTTGATCTTCTATTGGTTGCACATTCTTTGTAGTGTTTGAAGAGGTACTGGTATCGCTGCCCGGAGCTCTGAGTATCTTCAATCCACATGAATTAACTCAAAGTTTTTGTTTCCTTAATAGGCAACTACATGCCTATTCATCATAAGCACAACTTCACTTCATTGTATTGAAGAGGTAATTGTTTTACACGATTCAAGTATTGAAAAAATATTTGCACATCAAGAAATAAAAAAGACCACACCGACTACTAAAGGAATCCCCAGTATATTGTTAAGCATTACTACTATATACACTGAAGTGCAAGTGAAATAATTCAGTATTGAACTATTTTCCTTATCCCGTGTTTTTATAAGCTTATATGCCAACCCCTATTTCTTTTTCCTTTTTGTCTTAGTGGTTAAGTTGCTTCTTTCTTTTAAATTTGATTCTACCACAGCTCTCTCGCGTTGTATGAAGTTCGGTATTTCGCCTTGCAATATAATGTTTTACCCTGTTACAAGTTAGAGTTACCAGCAGAACTAGCAGCAATTCATCCAGTCTTTCACATTTCCTTGTTAAAGAAGTGTGTGGGTGATCTGGCATCAATAGTACTATTAGAGAGTGTGGCTGTGAAGGATAGTCTCACTTATGAGAGGTGCCAGTAGAGATTCTTGAGTGAAGGTTTTATGGAGGAGTCAGTCCGTAGAGGGAGCTACTTGGGAAGCAGCCATGAAGGCCAAGTATCCTCATCTATTTCCTTCTGATTCCATTTCAGCTTAAGGAAATAGTTCCTCTCACGTCTCTCAGTTTACTCTTGTGAAAAAATAATCTTAGTATCTTGTTCCCTCAGTTATTCTTGCATTTCAACATATTTGCATGTTCTTCGAACTCAATTAAGTTATATATCAAAGTCTAGTACTTAGTGGAAGAGATTGTATCTCGTTCCCTTCATACTCAGCTTGTTTAGACTTTATTCAAGGATGAATGTTCCCAAGGTGGAGATAATGTAACACCTCGGACCTCAAAATGAAAGAAAATCCCAGTTTTTAGAAAAATTGGTGCCAGTTTCGATGGAACCACCCACGGACCGTAGGTGGGGTTCTATCATTAAGGCCTACATGCTGATGATCTCTAACCCCATCACGGTCGACCAGTCCGGTCCGTGGTTAGACTTACGGACCGTAGGTTTGACCGTAGGTGAGGGTCAACAGCCAATTGGAGGGAATTGGCTGTTGGGGCAACTTCAAATAGTATGTAGGATTTCACTAGTGGGTTCCTTTCATCAACTAATTTCCTTCTGTTCAGTTCCTTGATTTTCTATATCTTGTTTAGCCTTAGGGTTTCTAAAACCTTGGGTATTTTGTGTGACTTAGATGTTGTAGTATCCTGAATCGAAATATCATGTTTCTTGGAAAGTTTGTTTATTTCCTTGCATGAATCTCAGAACCCTAGTTGTGTAGATTCTCTTAGTTCATAAATTACCCGTGCTAGGTCAGTTAACCAGATAATCATGCTCTAGTTTCGAATGTTACATTATCAGTATATAAGGGTTGCATTTCCAGATTTGTATGTCAGCATTTTGAGGTATTCAATATGTCAACATTTCAGTAACATTTCCAAATAAGTTCATAAGGAGTTTTTGAGTATAATCTCTTTTAAAAGAATATTTTGAGTAATAATCTATAAGTTTAAGAGTGAGGAAATAGTTTTAACCATATGAGCATGAGTTATATTATTAGGAGTAGTATTGAGCACCAATATGGGGACGAGTTAAGACAACTCAAAGTCCTTATAAACCATGTATGCCTACGTGGGTAAAAAGGGTCATACTCTTTAGATGATTCCTCGTTTCTTTTAAAGCATAGCTTAGTGGATCAACTTAGTTGAGAATATCTTATACTCCGGCAAAGTATATGACTGTTCTGGCAATGTGGGCGAGACGATGTATCATCACATAACTCATAGTGATGGTTGTCAGTTAGAGAATCTCCTAAATAAGAGTAAAAGAGTATTATTGTATTTTTAAATACATTGAGTTATTATCTACTGTTTTAAAAGCTTTCTGTATAATGCATCTTTACTTTTTCTTTTATATTAAACTGAGTTGAACATTTCTAAGTTGAGTATCTTGAGTATGTTTTAGTAGCCTTGAGTTGAGTTGAATTGAGTTGCGATGAGGTGAGTATGTTCTTCCTTTTTATCAGTTCAAGCTTATGTCTGTGTTTTATATTTCCCCTTGCATCCTCGTATATTCAATGTACTGGTGCCATTTAGCCTGCACCTGCATTTTTTATGATGCAGATACAGGAAATTAGGGTCATCAACAAGTGCCCCATTGATACCACTTGCAGTCCCAAAATCATTTGGTCAGCCTCCTTGCTTCCGTATAATCCCTCATTTGTTTCTATAATTTCAATTTTGTTAGGATGATCGGGGGTCTTGTCCTGACATCCCTCATAGTATAAGAGGCTTTACATACAGTAGTAGTTGAGGAGTCTTTTCCATTTTCATTTTGTTAATGTTTAAGACTTGAGTTTCCTCTATGGCCAGTTTGAATAATTTTAAAGTTAATCATTTTGAGACTTGAGTTAAATCATTTTATTATGAATTGAGCTACTTTTGAATTCTTATATTTATGAGTATGTCTTTCGCTGAGTATTGAGCAAGGCAAGGGTTCGCTTGGGAACCATCAATAGTTCTCGAGTGCCAGTTACGCCCAGGCTATAGGCTCGGGGCGTGAAAAACTTGATATTAGAGTATAGAGTTCATGAGTCCTAAGGTGTGTACGAAGTATTTTCTATAGAGTCATAGTTATCGGTGCGAAGCATGCCACATCTATAATTAGGAGGAAGTTACATTTAGGAACTATCTCACTTCTTTCATATTCTTTACTTGCGATAAAGCTCAAATCTATAAAAGTTTCTTTCTTATTCGTGCTAGCATGTATCTATCAGATCTTGCCTCCATGAAGAGTTGC